GCTGATTTAGTTGGCAGAATTTGGTGAATTGATATTTATTTGCAGTAGTAGACCTATTATCTATTTATAAAAAACAACATACAGATAATAATCAATTAAAAGATTGGCAACTACCCTTTGAAGTATTTATAAAATATTTGTTTAGATATTAATAATATTTTTTTTCTTACAGCGGAAGCATAATTCCATTGAATATAAAGTTTGATAAAATTATAACAGATAACTTTGTATTTACTTTGCAAATAAAAATAGTTCAGTACTCTACATTGACTAAGAATATAATGTGACTGATGTTTCAAACTCAGTAAATATTTATGAATTAATTGATTGTTTAAATGTTTTAATTAATTCATTCATTATTCAAATGTAAACAATTTGTTTGTTGAATGAAATGTATATTCATTTAACAAGTTGATGTCAAGTAATTAAAAGTATATTGACTAGGAGGTTATCATAGCATATTTATACAAATAAAGTGTACCATACAAGACAACCATTTGTGTTTATTTCATTTACCACTACCCACCCCATCAAAAATCATTTAAACACCCCTCCCCATCTACTTTCACATTAACTAAAGAACAAATATACACATGTACTTCATGTCATGAATACCTTCTAAAAAGCTTGACAGTATTGATGGTATATACAGGGATTCCTTGTGTTTAAGTTATTATTGCAAACAGAAAATTGATTACAATTAATACTTTAGTAAACTATGCAAAATTCATTGTGTTGATACTTGTTATTGTAAACAAATACATTGCTTGCAATAAATATAAAACTTTACGTAACATTATAGCGGTAATACTTTGTTACGGTAATTAATAAATCGTTCGCAACATATACTTTGGTGTGCTGCAGCTTTGCGTCTTTATTTTATACGGTATTTTAAATACGCTGTGAACATTTGTGATTATATGTTGTAAATATTTGAAAATATTCAAATACTGAAATATATCTGAAGTTATTCTTAAGCAGTGAATCCTAGTAACTTATTTTAAAAAGAAATATATATATTGAACATGTCTTCAAAAGCATCCAAAGCAATGGAGAAAAGGATCGCAAACTTCTTGAAGCATTTCATGAACTAGATGGAAGCGAAGGTTTGAAACAAAGGTAGATCTTTTAGCATTTACCAAGCATGTCGGGACAGGATTATCAGGAATCAAACCTGGTGCTTCGTTTCATATTTCAGAGACGACCTTTTCTAAATTTCCATGCATTTCATTATTTTATGGAGACCAGTCTTGGAAATTCTTAACATAGAATGTGCCGATGGCAAAACCTTACCATACCAAGGTAAAATAGAATCTATTTTAATACTAAAGGAATTCCAAAGCAAGAAGATCATGTTTGTTTATGTCTTGTCCTCTCGTAAACAGCTTGCAACTCGAATACTCCTGTTCTTCTCGAAACAAACATTTTGATTGAACTTATGGCATCATGTAAACAGAACTTTGGAGAGTTATTACTTCAGAAAGCTTCACCTTTTACACCATGATATTTAGCTTTTATGTGCATCACTGTAAGGAATCAGGATATAAAAAGAAACAAAGACAACATAGCAATAATAAGGAGTACCGAGCCCTGGCAGATTATCTTGGGATCAAACCAGACTAAGAATATAAGAGGAGTAATTTTCAAAGAATTGAACTATCACCCCACTTGTGCTTTCATAAAGGAAACAGATGAATCAAACCCACCTAATTGTAAAGACATCACACCTTCTGTAGTTTATTTTCAGTATGGAAAGAACAAAGAAATTACTGTAAATGTGTCAAATCTTACAACAAATACAGTTGCGATAACACGGAAAAGGCTATACTTGCGGATCAACAACCCGTTGATGTGGATGAAGCGGTATTTGAAAAAATGCAGGATACACCAAATTTGACTTATTCAGTGAAGTTACAATTGACACTATATTTACACAAGATCAAGATACACAACTAAGGAACCTACTGTTAAAGCATCAAGATATATTTTCTAAAAGTGACACTGATATTGGACATTGTAAACTAATGAAGCATAGGATTGATTTGATAAATGACACACCCTTTAAGCAAAGACACAGACGTATACCACCGGCCATGGTCGATGAAGTTAGGGCACACTTAGAGCAGTTACTTTCCAGTGGAGTTATACAGAAATCCAAGTCGCCATGGTGTTCAAATATTGTTTTGGTTCGAAAGAAAAATGGGAAAATCAGGATGTGCGTGGACTACAGAATGTTGAATCAACGAACAGTAAAAGATGCGTACGCTTTACCAAGAATCGAGGAGGTTTTCGACGTTTTACAAGGATCAGAGGTCTTTAGTACAATAGATATGAAAAGTGGTTACCACCAGATTGAAATAGAAGAAACACATAGAGAAAGAAGTGCATTCACTGTCGGTCCACTTGGATTTTATGAGTATATCAAAATGCCATTTGGTTTGTCAAATTCTCCGGCAACTTACCAACGTGTCATGGAAGAGTGTTTAGGTGACTTGAATATGAAGATTTGCATCATTTACTTAGATGACCTAATTATTTTCAGCAAGGATTTCAAACAACATCTAGAAAGACTCGACATTGTTTTGACCAGACTCAAAGAATGTAATTTGAAATTATCAGCCGATAAGTGTTTCTTCATCAAATCAAAAGTTAAATTTCTTGGACATGTGGTTGGAAAACATGGAGTGGAAACTGACCCAGATAAAGTAGAGAAGGTAAAGAATTGGCCAACTCCAAAAGATGCAGATTCCCTGAGATCATTCATAGCATTTGTAGGATATTACAGAAAGTTTATTAGGAATTTTTCAAAGATTGCAAAGCCGCTTACTGATATGTTACCCCCAACATCTACAAAAAAAAGGGAAAATTAAAGCACAAGAGCCATGGCATTGGGGACCAGAACAAGAAACTGTTTTTAATCAACTCAAAGAAACTTTGATGTCGCCTCCAATACTTGCCTATCCAAATTTTCAATTTCTATTTGAACTTCACATCGATGCCTCGACACAAGGATTAGGAGCAAATATGTACCAAGAACAAGATGGAACAAAGTGTGTAACAGCATATGCAAACAGAAGTTTAAGTAGATCGGGAAAAAAAACTATTCAGCATTAATGTTGGAATTTCTTGCAATTAAGTGGGCCGTACAGGACAAATTTTCTGATTATTTACAACTGAACAAATTTATAGTTTACACAGACAACACTCCTCTCACTCATATCCTTACGTCATCAAAATTAGATGCCACTGGCCAGCGCTGGGCTTCCGCTCTTGGAGAGTACAAATTCGACATGGTATACAGAACAGGCCTAAAAATGGAGATGCAGACAGAATGTCAAGATACCCCTATCAAGAAATATTGGATGATCAAGTATGTGTTAAAGATCAAACAATAAAGGTTGTCTGTTCAATTCCCCAGTGAGGATCGAACTCACGACCCCGGGTTTACATCAATTCTTAGTTGGTATTCTAGCTCGCAAATTATTAAATATCCTTCAATATGTCTGTCTCTTTTGTTGTTATGTCTGCGCTATTTAAAATAATTCTGTTTCAGCTTCATAAACTTCCGATTACAACTGCATGAATTCCCGATTTAAATTTCATGAATTTAGGATATCAACTTCATCAAGTTGAAATCTCGAATACACGAATAGGTAATCATGAAGTTGAAATTGTGAATTCATGAAATTGAAATCGTGAAGTTGACTTCGTGAATTCATGAAGTTGAAATCGTGAATTCAAAAAAATGAAATCGTGGATTTTAAATCATGAATCGTGAATTTCTTATGGCAAAAACGGGAATTCATGAAGTTGAAAAGGCCCTACCTTTTCCTATTTACAACTACCATTGTTTCCTAAACCACTGTTTGCATACCAGTTATTGTTTATTTTTCTTAAGGTCACATGATTGTTCTTCAAAGAGGATTTGCTCGAATATTAATTTTAAAGCTTGATATAATTTATGACCTCCATTTTATAAAACGTACAAGTTGTCCATGATTGGTCTTTATTGAACTTAGTTATCATTTTCAGTTGAAAATCGTCGATTTATTACCTTTCGCATAAAAAGTTATGGTAATCATATATTATGTTCATTACTTTAAGAAAATTTGCTCGTATATTAATCATATATTATGTTCATTACTTTAAGAAATTTGCTTGCAACGGGCGATACTATGCCTAACCGAACTAACCCTAATGTCTTTATTTTTTATCTATTGATTTATACTCATTTTCACATAAATGAGCTTTTTAATGAGAACTGTGGAATTCACCCGTGTAATTTTTGCGATAAATATTGAAATGCAAAAAAAAACGTTTTACTGGCTAATCATTTTAATTGCATTGAACCGATTACAGATTGCGACCAGGCTTTTCATTCAGTTGTTTACTAAAAACGAAAATAATATTATTTACGTGATATTTAAAATTGCACACACATTTCAGTAAGAAGGTTATATATAATTATCCTGTTCATGTAATTTATTTCGAAGTGATTTGTCAAGAACTTAAACAAAATATTATGAAAACTATGCTAGTCTTACTGGAGATGTTCATTTTAAATATGTATAAAGTATTTTTGAAGATGCAATTGCAAGTAATTTTAATGACATATATTATATTGATATTATCTATAGCGTTTAGAGTTTAAAACACAACATATTATTCCTGTGTACTTAAAAATCTTTTTTCAGTTTAAAAGATACTTTATAGCAATTATCAGTGATTTTCTTTCAAATACCAAATTCAAAAGGTATACCTGCATATCCTTCTATACTAAATAAGAGGAAAGTAAAAATCAAATTTATAAATATCAACAATAGTATAACTTAATCATTAGACATAATATTCATTACAAAAAAAAACAGATCCCTGTCAAGTCTTATATAAAGGCCGTGCACTCAAATAAATGAACCTTATCAAAATTTATACTAAAATTTAAAACTGAATTTATTTACAGCTTATGCAAGACAAATCGTGTGCAAAAAATTACAACTTACATTTGTCGATTTGTTTAATTATTCCATGTTAATGTTTTTGCTTTCTATTGGCAGCTTCCTATTCACTAACAAAATATTAACTAAATCTACTTTGACAGGGGGCGTATTTTGTTTACTTACTATTATCTGTACATCCTAACACGTGACAAGTCAAGATAGATCACATGACCAGCTACGCGAAAGTACTTGCCTGTTCTTTCTTTTGGACATCGAATCACTATCTTGTTCGATAATTTATATCTGACTAATGTTAATGGGATACTCAGGCGAATTATTGATAAAAATATTAAAACGAGCTAAGGGCATACAATTGATGAGATGTTTTGCGCTAAGTCGACTTATTTTTATTCGCATTTATAAAATGTTTTTGCAAATCTCAATCAAATTTACTGACAAAGATGAGGAGTTTCTTAGGCATTGTAACTTAACTTTTTTCTATATTCTTGATGTTTTTGTATCTCTGATAAAAATCAAGTGAAAAAATTACACTTCGTGATTTCACGACTTTGCTGAAATATTTAGTAAGACGCAAAGACGTTACTTACATTGACAAATAGTTCAAGTAATTCAACAAATTCTTTCGCAATAATTAAAACACTTCTTCGTATTACGTATTCATCATTACATGTTCATGGGTTTTTTTTGGTCAAAACGAGAAGAAATAAGTGGACAGGACGTGGTATTTTTGGGTTAGTGGAGGCACTGAAAAGCTTCCGTACATATGTACTCAAATCACGCTAAAATGACTTTTTTTGAAGTTCCAGCAAGAATTTCTCTATATATTATATATATGTTGGCTTTGAAACGTTAATATATCTATATATCTTAAACGAAATTTAAACGCCGACATAATCACCGAGTAGTTTTAAAACAAGTCATGTGACTTGAACAAATCCTGAAAGTTACAATAACTGATATTGTGGATATTGAATTATTGATATAAGTCATAGTCATTCATTTGACATGTTCCTTAACGTTTTAATAGTTCGCTGTTACAACTGTTGTAAAATCCTAACGCTCTAACCTGACCCACGCGGGTCAAATTAGGAAACCACCATTATATTCTTTATATGAATAAAAGTTTTGCTCCTGTTACTGCCCAGTGTATTCATTTTGAGGACATTTAGAGGAGGAAAAGGAATGAAAAATTCATAACGTCATATAAATGATGCTTTCGTTTATTTATCACTTTTTTGTATGATACAATTTTTATTTCGTTGGAAATGAATTTAATAACATAATTATCTGCGTGAGTGTTTTCTTAACTAAAACAGAAGAACAAAGAAACAAATATCTTGTATAAATGAAAATAGATTGTTAAAGCCAGTTGCTATGTCTAATGGTAGTCACCGATATAATTGACATTTATCTTTATCCTATATAATAATCTCTTGTTTTCAAGATAAATTTGACATGTAGTGATTGAATGATTTATGAGATGTTAAAAGCAAAATTGTGGGATAGTCAATGAATGAGTTTTTAAGGGTTTTCTACAATGAAGTCAAATCCCTAAGCAAAGTATTACAGGTTAGATAAAGGGAAGATAAATGAGTTGAGAAAGCAATTATTTAAGACTGTACTTCGACATTTGAACTGTAGTTCATTTATATATATTGAAACAAAACAGAGTTGCTTATTTTGTGTATGTGTCGTGTATATAACTGAGGTCTTTATTAAATACTGCATCGTATTATATAGTCTTATTTTATTGACCTGCCATTTATGAATACATTATAGCACTCATCTTAATATCCTATACCACTTCGGTCTGTCCGTATTGATTACGAGAATTAATTTGGAGTATATGACTAATGTTTTAAAAAGTCACACTATCTGAATGTTAATGTTCTGGTTGTATCCGCAATAGCACAGTCGGTTGAGTGATTACCTCAAGTGAGTGATAAGCCTATGGCTCGATCCATACTTTTTCAATTGTTTTAGACCAATTCTTTCTTTACTTTTTGTAGGTTGCTTTAATGAATAGGACTTGGAAAATAGTCTAAACGGATATGGAACAACTTAGAACCACATTTCTTTTTGAATTTTATGGCATTCAAATGACCTTATTGATTTTAATTTTAATTCTTAAAGCATGCTATTTAAAAGGTGTATTTTCTTTGCCAAAGTAAATGCAAAACATAAAAAAGAACAACTTAAAAAATATCAATCATACATTCAATAATGTGGCAAATATAAATTAGAAAAAAGCACGGTCTAGATCTTACATGAGGTGGGACATTTTGAAATTATTAACCGGTAGTTTACCCTATTGCGCTATTACGGCCAGTATAGCTATTTCATAGAAACAAATTAAATTTAATCAAATGTTACTGAGTACATCTCACGAAGTTTACCGATCATTTATCGAAGATTAATATACAAGTATTGTATGCATTGACCGTGTAATCAGTATACAATTGACTGGTTGATAAACTCAAACAATAGCTATGTACTTTTTTGCCATTATGTACAGGTATCTTAAATTAAAATACTAGGTACATTTTATGTGAACGGTTTGATAAATATATCAGCAAATAGAAATGTTTGAAGATTGTTCATCATATTTTATTAGTAACAAGAATAATCATCAAAGAGATTTTCGGCCGAAGAAAAAAAGTTTTTACTTGTATAGGTTATTTTGGAGTTTTAAATCTGTAAATATATGTGAGCTCAGCGGTTGTTTCCGTAGGGTAATTCCTATTTCCTATTTTCATTCCACTGAATACATTAACATAACAAAATAATTTTATTTTTAATCAAAATTTTCGCTTTAATTCAATTCATTACCCTTTTGAATGCCATGTAAAATGTAAACATAATATGTAATAAACGTACATGTAATATGTAGCATTATGTAATCCGATGACATGAAACTCAAAATTGATCACGAAATTAATTGATAACGTTTCGTTCATTTATCTAATCTGTTATATCTTATCAATGCAAATACCGAACGTTTAATCCGAAATATTCCAGGAGGTATCCTTCATTTTTTTTAAATTCTTTTGTTAAAACACCTTCATGCTGGTAACATCAATGAGTTTTAAAAAGGAGTCTGCCTTGTTTCGGTTATTGTTTTTTACAATGAAATGCGTGTCATTATAATGCAAAGATACATCTATGAGACTCGTGATGAACAACTCATTACAATAATATTATAAAATATACACCGAAAATAATCAGAAGAGTTGGGAAATTTAAAATGTTTTTTCGTTCGCTTTTTCCAAACACTTTAAAAACAGTTTCTACTGTTGTAAAATATTTCTTATGAGGAAGCATAGCTTAAAAGTCTCAAATATTCCTGACTCGATAATTGTTTATGAAACCCCTTTTAAAGTAGATGTTTTAGGAATTAAGGCACGTATTCGTTTCAGAAAGATCCTTTATTATTATATATTGTTTTACTTAATTTAGAATTACCAATGATATTACCTAAATTCAGTTTAGTTAAGTGTAGTTTAGAATGACTGATAGAAATCGTATCTATGTCCTTTTTATATTCAATTCTTCCTTGCAGGAAGTTAAACTGTTCTCAAACAGAGTATAATGAATCTGGGTTTAATGACGTAATCTTATATTGTGTCCATGTATTGAAGGCATTTATACAGAAACATTGTAGTTCATGGCAATAATGCAAGTATATTGCTTTATTAAATACTGATAAAAATGGTGTAAGAAAGACGTCGTGCAGCGAGCTATGATATCAAGTTCAACTTCACATCTGTACAAATGTTTAAATTAAGCTCTTTAAGTGTCCTTCATGCACGTCGGCAATAAGAATATAGGCTAAGAAACAATGTTACCAGAGCAAGAATAATATATTATGGGGTTTTATGTTACAAGAGGAACTAGAATATATGCTGGGAATCTACGCTATTAGATTAAAAAAATAATGGTTTGGATACTACGCTACTAGAGCAAGAAGAAAAAAGGCTGGAAAACTATGCTACTTGAGCAATAAGAATATAGGCAGGGAAGCTTAGTTACTAGAGCAAAAACTATATATGCCGGGAAACGTAGTAACAAGAGCAAGAATAATTTAGTTTGGGAACTTATGCTACTTTAGCAAAAGGATTAAAGGCTAGAATCTAAGTTACAAAAGAAGAATATAGGTTTGGAAACAAAGTTACAGAAGCAAGGAGATTATATGCTTGAAAAATTAGCTACTTAAACAAAAATAATATAGGCTGGGAAACAATGATTCTAGTGTAAGGAGAATATGGACTGGGAAACTATGCTTCTATAGCAAGAAGAAAATAAATTGAAAACTATGCTACTACAGCAAGCTGAATAAAGGCTGGGAAACAAAGTTACCAGAGCAAGAAGAAAATCGTCTTGATAACTCACCTACTAGAGCAAAAAGAATATAAACTTGATAACTATGCGACTAGATCAAGAAGTATATAGGCTGGAAAACTGTGCTACTGGAGCAAGAAGAATATAGGCTGGGAAACAATGTTACTAGAGCAAGAAGAAATTAGGCTTGGAAACTATGCTACAACAGCAATATTAATATAGGTTGGGAATCTAAGCTACTGGAGCAAGAATATTAAAGGCCGGAAACTTAAAAAAATACTAGAGAAAGAATAATATAGGCCCCAAAACTCTGCTACTAGGGCAAGAGGAATAAAGGCTGAAAACTATGCTACTATAACAAGATGAATATAGGCCATGAAACTCTGCTACAAGAGCAAGAGGAATATAGGCTTGATAACTATGATTCTGGAGTTAGAAAAATGTAGGCTTGAAAACTGTGTTACTAGAGCACGAAGAAAGTAGGCTTGGAAATTATGCTACAAACGCAAGGTTAATATAGGCTGGGAAACTATGTTACTAGAGCAAGACGAATATAGGCTTAACAACTATGCTACAACAGCAATATGAATATAGGTTGGGAATCTAAGGTACTAGAGCAAGAATTTTTAAGGCCGGGAAACTAAAAATTACTACAGAAAGAATAATATAGGCCCTGACTCTCTGCTACTAGAGCAAGAATATAGGCTGGAAAACTATGATACTAGAACAAGAAGAAAATAGGCTTGGAAACTATGCAACAACAACAAGATAAATATAGGCTGGAAAACTATGATACTGGAACAAGAAGAAAATAGGCTTGGAAA